CAAAACTCACAATTTAGTAACAATCAAGTAACAATTAAGTCTGTAATCTTAAATTGAATTTACAATCAACAGATGATTAAAAATTAATCATTGTCTTTGATTGTTAAACACAAATTATTGAAAATCAATTTAAAACGACAATCAATAAACATCAACATTGATCATCAACCTTGTTTACAATTAAATCAATGAATACAATAAAATTGTGAAAATTTATCCCTAATTGTTACAACAATTAACCTTGATTGGTAATATCCTATATCATGTTAATCAATATTTACTTGAATCAATGTTTATCAACAATTAAAGATATTCAAACTAACATAATTAAACAAGGCCTCTGAATAATTAAACTACTATCTCCTTCAATGATTAAGTTTAAACTAGTTAGTTAATAATCTTGATTAGCAAACCAGATCAACAAACAATTTACTAATCAAAGTGATTGCAATGAGAAATAAAAAAGTTAACTAATTGTGACCAGCCCAATAAATTAATTGCTACACTTAAATTTTTGCTTAATCATTTTCAAGGTTTCCTTGTTTGTTTTTGTTAATTATTATTGATTACATAAATTATTATGATTATGTGATTAAGTTTCAATTATGTTTCAATTGGGAGCTAAAAGTTGATTGGAAACTGAATTAAAATTGATTGTTTATCATTGCAAACAACAATTAAATGACAATACAAAACAATAGCAAAGGTGGTAAACAAATCAAAGTTAAATGTCAAATGAGAATCAGTTGATTGTCACAATCAGATGGATGATTAATTTTAATCAAATAACTTTTGTTTTAAATCATCAAATCATATTAACCTGATTGGCAAAATTTACCAATGATAATAAATTGTTAGACACAATTAAGCTTGACAACCAATTGCAATGACAGTTAAGCGCAATTTAAATGATAACAGTTAACAATTAGAATGAAATTCAAGAAATTAACTCTTGTGACATTGCACAAAAGACTAACTAATTAACTAATTGTTGGATTATTGATTTGAATCGATAAACTTTTTTTTCCGGTTTATCTTTACAATCCCAAGGATTTTAATTGGGAAGGAAAAGTTTTCCTCATCCTGACTGACCACCACCCTCACCTCCTCCCAATCAATTTCATGGTCATCCCATTGACGAGGTTAATCATCAACTGACCAGCAGCGATTCTATGTTAACACAATTAACCAACAATTTAAACTGAATTTAGCACAAGGTGAGAAAATTAGAAAATAACAAAAGGTAGAAAAAGTTTTTTTTCTCTTATTAGTTTTTTCTTATTCTCATACTGATAGTATTCACTTGGCGATATTATTATTATCAAATTACAATTAACTGATTGCTGAATGTTGATTGTTGATTCTCAATTACCATTTACATGGTGTTAACATACAATCATTTTTTGGTAAATTATAAATTTAAATTGTTATCATTCAAATAACAATCAAACACTTACATTCACAGTTAATATATTAAGAAAAAACAAAATTTCTTGCTAATCAAATCTCATATTCAGTAATTATGATTACAATTAACAGCAACAATAAACAATATGATTAAAGTAATTTGCCCAAATACCTTAATCAAAATGTGTATACAATTACAGCTCTGGGTCAACTATTAGATTAAATTGTTGGTTAAATTAACTTTTGAAAATCGCAATTTAAATCATTAGCATACAGAAAAACCTTAACCTTTTTTATTTACTGTAACAATTAAGCTTCTGTCCTTAACAATTTAAAAAGTAACAAATTTTCAAATCTCCCACAATTAAATTGTTTCTGTGTGTAAAAATTAAGTTGATTAGGTTGGCAACAATTAAATGTTTACAATGGTACAAACTGTCAATACTTAATTACCGTCTACTTTCATCATTAATTGTTATACTGTTGATGGTTGATTAGTTGATAATTTAACTGTAAATTTGTCTCTTCGTGATCATTATTAACAATTAATCGTGATGATTGTAAAACAATTAACAATAATAATAAACAATTGTCTGTCTTCATGTTTCATTTTCATCATGATTAACAAATGATTTGAAATGGTGAAATTAATTGTTTACAATCAGTTGTTACAATCGGAATTAAATGTCAACCAGCAGAAAATGTAAACAAAACTGACAAACTGATTAAGGTAAATTAATTTCACCATTTTTATACCAATTGTTGAACAGGCAAAGTTTTAATTGTCACAATTGTCACCGGAATTTACTTCCGTGATCAACTAGAAACAATTTACAAAGGTAAAGAGTCAGAGAGAGAGACAACAATTAACTTCACAATTGCAATAATCATCTTGCAAACAGATGATTGATTAAATTGTTAGTATCAATTAGTTTATTGCTCAACATTAATTTGCATCGAATTGTATCAATAAAGGTAAATGATATGAAACCCAAATGATTAGTTAATTGTTGCATTGTAACTTTTGCACAAACAGGATGATCATGATGAAGGAAATTGATAATTAATAGTTAGGATTAGGATTATAGACTTGATGAGATAATAATTGTTTATCTTTCTCGAAACACAAAGAAGATCAAATGAAAATCTCTTCGCAATTTTCCAGGTCAATAGGTCATTCGAATCGCTCTTTCCTCAATTCGATTGATTCTGCTAATACTCACCCTGTAAACTCCCTTTCCATCATCTTTCCATCATCATTATCATCCTATTACCTGGATAAATCCCCTTTGTGAGATCAGATGACTTTTGTAAGTCAAATGATATCAAAATTAAAGTAACCATAATAATCAACAAGTTAATCTTATCATTTAAAGTACAATCTAAGGATGAAGATGAAACTGGATGATAAAGATTAGAGAGCAATAAAGAGAGTGAGAGAGAAAGACAGAGATAAAAAAGAGAAAGTTTCAGCTTATCCCCTGCGGGCAATCAGCATTGAAAGACCACAGGTGATCGTCCAGGTTCAACAAGGTGATCAGCTGATTGAAAGATGCAAGCAGAAAATAAACAAATAAACAACAACAATTTAATATCCTCAAAACAAGAACCAGATTATAAGTTTAGAGAATCAAAAAAAAAAATATTTCCATGATGATTCTGGTTCAGTAAATTTACCATGAAATCCAAATAAAGTTTAAATAGACAACAACAACAACAAAGATGATAATATCATATTAATAATGAACATTAATAGCATCAGGGAATCACCTTAATTAAGGGAATCTCCAAAAAAAATCATCTTCTAATAATTAATCTTCATCATCCTTAACACTTTCTCATCTCTCTCAGAAAAAAATCTCTATTATCATGCTTATTATTACATCATGATGATAATCATCATTATCATCATCATCATCTCTTTATCCCCTTTTATTTTCATGGTGAGTTCAATGTTTCAGCTGATTCTGGCAACGGAAAAGGGTTTTTTTTTGTGTTTTCATGTTATCATGATGATATTTTCAAGGTTAAATCAATGTGAATATATTTTGTTGAAACTGACAATAAACATGAAACTTTGATTGAAATCAACATCAAGGTTATTTTGTCCATTATTAATATCATCAATTATCAACCGATGTTGATGATTAACCTAATCAGTTTCTCGTCTTTGATACTTTGATAATTAGTCTTATTATGAAATCAGCATACAAATTAATCAATAATTGTTGATTATCAATGGTTAATCCTGATACTTAATTTTTGTTGTGTCTCTTTTTTTTCATCATGATAATTATTTTATTTTATTTTTCTATCATTAATATTGTGATTAACTTAATTCGGTTACAATTTAACTATCATTTCCTAATCATCTCATGATTATAGTAAAAATATTAATAACATTGATCAATGATTACAATTAATCACTTGACTTAACCCATAAGATTGTTAATAGCTAATAATCAACGTGGTTAAATAGTTATTATAATTATCCTTTAATTGTTTGTACTTTATTTAATCCACAATCAAGCAATCATTGGTTTTGCTTTTTGTTTCACAATTTATTAATTATTTGATAATCTGATCGTCAAGGTTAATTGTTGCCTCGATTTAATTTCCCCTTGCCTTTAATTGGGAACTGAAAAAACTTCCGGTCACTTTTGAATCTTAATTACTACTGAAGCTAAATTAACAGGTCCAGATGATTAATTGCTTCTGCTGTCTGGATTAAGGATGAGATGGTAATTAGCAAATTGTTTAGAAGTTGTAAATTAAGCTAATTGGTTAATCATGTCTCATGAAAATCCCCAATTGAATCAAGTCTAATCCAAACGGGATTAACTTCCCCTTCCAATCATTGCAATTATATAAATAGAAATGAATTGACAAAAACAAATCTCATCAAGTATCTTGTTATTAGCTGTTAAATTGTTAACAATTTAAACTGATCATTTAAGGACAATCAGTAACCAGGTAACATAATCAACGGTTAATTGCAGCAATATAAAAAAGTAAACATGATTAACCATTTTTTGCAGCTTCTTGTTAAATTGTTTACCAAATTCAGTGAGAGATAAAAAAAACCAACACAGTAAAAAGCAATAAGATGATGGGGATGATGAAGATGATGAAAGGATGCGGATGAAGATGAGGATGATTGGATGATGATGTAAAATGGATGGAAAGTGAATGTGAAAGAAACTCTTTCTTTCTCTACCTGGAACCAGTAAGAGGCTCACACAATCCTTGAGGCATTTTATGTACATTTTTTTTTCGTTTTTTCTGTCAATCTCTGTCTTCTTTTCCATCTCTCATCTTCCATCATCCTCATCATCTTGTAATCTCTTTCTTCTGGTTAACACCCATTCGATTGCTCTGAGTCTGTCTCTTATCATTTCATTGTTTCCATAACTTTCCAGATTATTCTGGATAAATATACAACAATATCATGAGATTAAATGAACTTATCTGGTTTTTCAGCTCAGTATTTTCACCATGGTAAATCATCATGGAGATGGTTTATTATTAGAAGACAGAAGATGCGAAAGTAGGCAAAAAAGAATGAAAATTCGTAATTTCGTAATTAATGTTAATTAATGTTCATAATGTTCACTTTAATCTTATTAGAGATGAAATAAGAATATTTTTTGATTGTTCTTGTAATCACAAGTTCGAGATGATTAGATTGATTTACCGTAAATTGTGGTCACTGATTTGGCGGTTACTTGCCAGGTAATATCCTCACTGAATCCACCCTTAATGGTTACATTAATTGGATACTTGTTCTTGTTCAAAATGACCACTGCAATGTTGTTGTCCGGTCTTTTGAAAACAACGTATTCAACTGACCCATGAGAACCATCAGTTTCCAGTCTTGTAGATTCGGGGACTAAAAATTTGGCCAAATGGGCCAATGAATAGTACAAAGGTTGACGAAGATACTCATTCGCGGTTGTATTCACTATGATCGGTGAATCGACTCGATTATCAGCCCAATTAGGTCCACCCGTTAAATCTAAGGCCATATTCCAATCGATCCAACCATGAGCACCATGACCAAGATCACTAATTATATCGGAAGCGTAATTTTCAGCTCTACCCCAATCACCAAGAGATACTTTTACTGTAGTAAAGTGGAAGATGATAAAAGATAATCAATGAGTTTAGTTACAAAGGTTGATAGTGAAAAAAAAGATTAACTAATCTAATCAATAGCAATTCACTATGATCAAGTTTCAATTGATGATTGAATTGTTGATTACCTGGATCTAGAAATAGTCGATAACCTTCACAGGCTTCAGATGAGATCCATAATTGTCCAGGGTACCATCGATTTAGTAGATTGAGAATTGATTTTGGTGTCACAAAGTTAGCGTACCAATGGAAGGCGACACCAGAGACTAGAGAATTGGCCTCCTTATCGTTGAGTATCTTACCGACCCAAACAAGAGCTCCAGGTAGTTGGTCGTCGAAAACTAATAGATTTAGTTTCTCCTTCAATGGAAAACCTGCTTCGGCGAGAATGGGTGCTAAATCTTTCTTGATAAAATCACGCTGAGAACTGGGACTAAATGTGAGTCCGTTGAAGGTCGAATGAAGGTAAGATGAGACTGGTTCATTTCCAGTTGTTAATCCCCAGAATTCAATTCCATTATTCTTATACTCGGTGAAAAATCTTCAGGGGGGATAAACAATGATTGAGAGAAAATATCAAATAGGAAATAGTGATAGAGAGAGAGGAGATAGAGAGTTAGAATTGAAAGATAATCAGAAATTCATGGGTGAGGAATTACCAACATGCGTTTCACTTTAATCTTCAAGTGATTAGATTACTTGAATTTCTATGTTGTTATTTATAATCCAAATAAACCTAAAACTTACTTGGCATAATATTTGGCCCAAGTTTTGTGATAACGGTCACCGGGATTATCCTTAAGCCAACCTCGTTTACTAATACTGTTTGATGTCTTCATCCATGCTGGTGGTGACCAGGCTGAAGCTAAGAGTTTCAATGATGGATTCAGTTGTAAAGCTTGGTGGATATAAGGTATCTGAGATAATCAATCAAACAATTAAGAATCAATAACCGTGTAAATGAAGATAAAGATACAACTAACCTTATAATCAAAATCATCTGGAGCTAAGGTAAAGTTTGTCAGTTCAAAATCGTCGATATGATCATCATCATAAGTGTAAGGTCGATCTGAGAAATCAGTACCACCGACCGGTACTCTACCCACAGAATAACCAATACCTGAGGTACTGAAATAATCATCGATTACATGGCGAGCAAGAGATTCATTGAGAGTTAGCAGATTAATTCCAGTGGAATCGGTAAAAGCCCCACCAAAGCCCCAAATTGATTGTTTCCGTTTATCTTGGTGGATTTTGATTGTCAACGATTTCTTGGTCTTGACGGGAACTTCGGTTATCGATGATTTACCGTTTTTATAATAGTTCTTACGGAATCGAAGTCCATCTTTGTTTGATTCGTAAACTGTAATCAAACCTTCCGACGGATCCGGAAGTTGACCTAAATCATCACAATAGTTTGAGTCACAAACACAAGTGTATTCATTTGGACCATGTTTCCGTCTCATACAAGTGTCGGTTCCGGCATCGCATGGGAATTGAGCCTCTTTGACTGGACAACTTGATTCCTGACCAATTGTCAAACTAATCAAACTTAACAATATAAAAATAGGTCCAATCATGACTGATTAGAGTTGCAATTAACTTAATTGTTGTTAACTTAATCCTGGTTCGAGTATAAATAATATTAGATCAATGATGTTTAATGAATTAACTTATTTAAGTTCATTACAAATCTAATTGTTTAACTAATGATTGTTTATCTACACTACAATTATGATTGTGACTAACTAACCTTCCTGATAAGAGGAGTAATTATAATTAAGCTTCACCAATTAAAAAACAGAGATTCCCGAACAATTAACTGTTCATATTGATTAAAAAAAGTTAATCGTATTGATGGTTAATCAATTATGTTTATTATTAAAATGGTTTCCCAACAATTAGAATTTGATTTAGTTTTTAATTTCAATTGATTATTATGATAAAATTGTTCAGCTTTGATTGTTACGTTCAAATTGTTTTCAGTGTTAATTTTTGATTAGATATTGATTGTTGATTGTTAGTTAATAACAAAAAATATCAGATGATCCTGATGATGATGGTGAATTTATTAATACCAATTATTTGGAACCAAATCAAATGTTAATAATGTTGATTAAGTTACAATTGAATTGTTTTCATATGAAACTGATTTACTATCAAAGCACAACAATTAAAAATCAGTTAATCACTTTGATGATGATTAACCAATGAAGAAGCACATGAAACAGTTAAACAAGATGAAAGTGAAAAAGAAAAATTAATTATCATCACTGGAGAAAGTAAATTAAATCAGATTAACAGAAAATCAATCAATGATTAAGCTTTAATTGTGTTGATAGTTAACGATTGAGGTTGAACCAGAATTCAAGCCTGAACCAGATTCTGGTTCCATGTGAATATAACATGATACAAATTGGAAGCGAAAGTAAAGAAAGAGGATTTTTCTTCTTGTGTCTATAAATAATAACAACTTAATTCTCTGTCTATTTTCATTTCTCTCTTTCTTTATTTATCATCTTCCTCATCATCTTCATCATCTTTAATTAATCAAGAAAAAAGAAAGACGAAAGAAAGAAAAACAAATCTCTTTTTTTTCAATTGACACTTTCTCTTGACTTGAAATGACAAAATATTCAAGGTAAACTGATTGTATGAACAATCAAACGAAACAATTAAAAAAAAAATTCAATTGGTTGATTTTAACCAAATTGCAATTGATAATTTAACCAATTGTGATACTTTGTAATTCAATGAGTATCTTTTTCAATTTACTGTTAACTAATTTGCTAATTGTTGATGTTTCTTGTTGGTAAGTTGATTAGCTTTTTGTAGGTTGACGATATCAAGGTGACCTTGAACATCGACCTGATATCAGGTTCTGGTGAATTCATATGATAATCATTATCATCATGATGATTTTGGAGGAAAGTTGTTGAGCAAGAAACAGATCACTGGTCTTCTTATTGATCTCACTTGAAATGGCCTCAGGGGATAACGAACATTAACAAAAATAAGAAGAAGAAAATGAAAGTCAAGTTATATGTTAGTATGCTTTTCTTTTTTTCTCTTCTTTTTCATCATCATCATCATCATAAGAAATTCTTGTTATCATGTTAATTATAACGATAATTGTTACTTTTACTCTCTCTCTCTCTCTCTCTCTCAACTGTTGTTTAATTGCTATTGACTTGACAATGGTAACATGTTATTAGATTTTACCTTGTCTTCGGGTGTGAGTTGTTTTCGTTGCTTCAAAATAGTAAAGAGTTGATGAAATTAACTGTCAAAAAAATTATTACAAATTGGATGTTTACATAATTGTCGAATCGAGAGGATTTGGAAGAGAGGGAGAGAGAGAGATATTAGCTGAATTCGGAATGAGTGAGAGAGAAAAAAAGATGAGAGAAAGCAAATAACTCGCAATATGGAGTAATGACAACAACCATTTTTCCAATCAAAGGTTGAGATGATGAAGAAGAAGGAAAAGAAAGAGAAGATAAATACAGATAGAAAGTGATGATTGAAGATAAATTTTAAGAGAGAGAGAGAGATAAAGGGGGATAAACTAATAGCTTAGAATAGCTTTTTAATATACAAGGGAAAAGGAGAGATGCTCAAGGGGAGGACAAGATGGAGAAGAAGATAAGAGAAAATGAGAGAGAGAGAGAAAAAGATGAAGATGAAAAAGAATCTGTGTGTTTTGATGTATCATTGAGGATGGAGATGAAGTAGATGCTGGATGAACACAAGAAGAAAAAGAAAACTTAGATGATCAGAAAAAAAAGAAAGAGAAGAAAAAAAGAGGAAGGAAGATGAAAGGAAGATGAATGTTGTTGTTTAAAAACGAAAAGTAAACAAAAAAAAAGAGAAAGTTATTCGAATGTCACCAGAGGTCACTAGTTTTTATTCTTTCGTGGGTGTGGCCTAATGAACTACGATGAAAAGAGAATAGAATTTTTCAGTTGATCGTAGGCACTTAATGGATTAAGGTGATAATATTTAACTGATTGTGCTTTGATTGTAACTTTGCTTGATCTCTAATTTTTTCTTTAATCCAGTTAATTATCAATTCTTTTTTTGTCTTCATTCAAATCGCTGTTGAAACATTAAATCATCTCTTATCCTTTTTGTTTTCATCAATTTCTCTAATATATCAACTGTTATTCTCCTTCGTCCTTCGTTTTTTTTTCTTTTCACATTATATTCTCTCTCTCTCTCTCTCTCTTTCTCCACCTAAATCTAAATATCTTTTTGCTCTCTTTTTTCTATTTCTCCCATTTTTCTTCTTCTCTTGACCAGAAAATATTATATCACCTTTTTATTTAATCTATTCTATTCTTCTTGTTTAATCCCAACCATAAACATCTAAAATTTTCTACTCTTGTCAAAATAACCTCACCATTATTATTATCACCATCCAGTTGTCATCATTTGCAAAAAGCGAAATTAATATAAAATTTTCATCTTGGTGTCTGTTACATTTTCCTTTGGCTTCAATTTTTTTGTTCTTTTTCGAAAAAAAAACAAACATTTTCTCTTTTCTCCCCTGTACCAATCAATCGTTTGGCTATCATATTTAACCCCAGTCGTTAATTGGACAATTCTCCATCTATGGTCTTAAAACCAACATCATCTTCTACCTAAACAGTCAACAAGTTCACCTTTATCTCTAAAAACCAAATTCTACGCTGTTCTACGTTTTTCTTCTACTTCTCTCTTTCTTCACTGTGTCTACTTTTCTCAAATTCTCTTTCTACTTTCCTCTTTCTATTTCTACTCTCTCCCTCTTTTTTTCTCTCTCTCTCTTAACTGTAACTTTTGCCTTCTCTCTTTTTCTCTCTTAAGTTTCTTCTCTTCTCCCCTTGTTCTTTATTACACCGACTTTTAAGGAGATCACATCCAACAATCATCAACATATATTTTCATTCTGTGTGTGTATTACATAAATACATTCAACACCCTAACCACCAACCACCACCTCTCACCAACATCAACAAATTTTTCCTTTGATACTCAAACCACCACAGATTTGTTTTTTGTTTCCTCTTAAGACAAAATCTCTTATATTCTTTTGACATTATATATTATTGCTCATAAACCCATTAACGTTTATTTAACGATCAACCATCTTTAATTACTACAAAGAAAAAAAAGAAAGAAACAAAAAATATCTTATCATCATACTGACATTCTACTCACCTTATTGTTTCAACTTGCTGAATTTATATTAACCTTTAAAGTTGAATTAAGTGTTAATTGAGTTTAACGATTAAATATGGTTATGAAAGACGAGTCTTTGGTAACCGATGCTGGTAAACCTGATTTAGATGATTCTACTCAAGATGAAGAGCAAATTGATTATCCCAATTCAGATCAACTTAATCAACAATCTTGTTCATCTCCATCATCTTTAATCTTATCCTCATCAACCTCCGGTGACCTCAACGGTGCCATTGTCATTAACGGCAAACAAATGGACCTTTCAAGTGATCGATATGCTGTTCTTAGCTATGAACAGGTAACAAGGTTGGATAATGTGATGGATGAAGTGGTTCCGATCCATGGGAGAGGTAACTTTCCCACCCTGGAAATGAAATTGAAAGATTTGGTCAGTGTTGTACGAGGTAAATTGGAGGAGGAAAGTGTTACTCTACGTGATATCAGGTTAAATGGTGGTGCCGCTTCTTACGTTTTGTGTCCAAATAATTTAACTTACAACGATTTGGACTTGATATTTGTAGTTGACCTTTCGACTTCTCGTAATTTTGATAAAGTTCGTTCAGCAGTATTGGATTCTCTGTTAGACTTTTTACCTGAAGGTGTGAACAAGAAAAGAATTTCCAGTTGTTCTCTTAAGGAAGCATATGTTCATAAAATGGTTAAAGTTAACGAAGGGGGAGACCGATGGTCCCTCATCTCATTGTCCAACAATAGAGGTCGAAACGTGGAACTTAAATTTGTTGATTCAATGAGACGCCAATTTGAGTTTAGTGTTGATTCTTTCCAGATAATTCTTGATTCCTTGCTCTCCTTTTATGAGGTTGATCCACCAATGAGGATGAGTGAAAATTTTTATCCAACTGTGGTCGGTGAATCTGTGTACGGTGATTTCCGCGAAGCTCTTTTCCACCTTAGTAAAAGACTAATCGCAACCCGTAATCCTGAAGAGATTCGCGGTGGCGGTTTACTAAAATATTGTAATCTATTAGTGAGAAAATATCGCTGTCTGGAAGAGATTAAAAACCTCGAAAGGTACATGTGCTCTCGATTTTTCATCGATTTCTCTGATTTGTGCCAACAGAGGAGGAAACTTGAAAGCTACATTGCCAATCATTTCGTCGGAGATGATCAGATGAAATATGAATACCTGATGACATTATTCAGCGTTGTCGACGAATCAACAGTTTGCTTAATGGGACACGAGAGACGACAAACTCTCCATTTAATACAAGAGCTTGCCTACCATTACTATTACCAAGATCAGCAAAGTTGATGTTGAAACAGCAATTTGACGCTGCAACGGCCGCTGCTGCTGCCGCTGCCGCCGCTGCATCATCATCAACATCGACCTCATCTTCATCACCTCTGTCAACCTCAACATATACCTCTTTGTCATCATCGTCCTCTGCGACCTCTGTCTCAAACTCATGTTCCTCCACCGTTTCACTGTCTCCTTGCTCGTCTCCCTCATCTTCTTCCTCTTCAACCTGCTCCATATCATCATCCTCATCAACCTCATCTCTCTCATCATGCACATCAAGTGCTGCCGCTGTAGCTGCCGCTGCAGCCCATTCTCATCAATCACATAATCATTACTACTATGGCAATTCGGCACAATTCTACTATTCGCCATACCACTCATATAATTGTAATCATCAGCCAAATTGTTTCAATCCGTGTCACTGTGGAGGATGGATGACCTGTGCTTAATACAAACATTGTAAACACAAAAACAAAAAAAAATCAACTTACAGTAAAGAAGCTAAAAAAACTACTACATAAAAAGATAAAAATACGAGAAAGAGGATATTGCATATGGAATATTAATAATATAACAAATATTTCCTGATACAAGTTAAAATGTGTTACGGATAAGCCAAAAAACTATTTAGGTCAATCAGTCAATCGCTTGAGGCAACTTTATCATCAGCAACACAAAAATCAACATATAATATCAAACAACAAAACAACAACAAAACAACAAAAAACAATATATTAAATGATCAACACAAAAATGAGAAGATGAAAAAACAAAATGAAACCAACAGAGTGGACATGATGATGAAATTGAACCTTTATTGAAATATACAAAAATGTTTGTTTTTTTCATATAATATTATCATTCCAATGATCAAGTCTCCTCTTCCGCTCTCTCGCTCTCAATCTCCCACATTTATCTTCCTTCCTCTTTCTCTCTCTCTCTCAAATAAAATTTTGAACTGATTGAATTAATGATGTGACAAACTTTTTTCATTCATTTCAATTTGATTGCTGTTCGACAATCAAGTCATGATGATCATCATTAGGTAAACTATACAAATGATAATCTACAATGAGAGATGACAATGAGAAGGTTAATTATTTTCATGTTCAACCGAATCAAATAAAAGTTAATTGTGAACAATTAACAACAAGTTTATTTTATATTGTAATGATTAAAATGTTAATTCAGTGACAGTTAATTGTCACAACTTAAATAATGACAAAAAAAAACATTGAAATTGTAATATTTATAAAAGACTTACAATTTATTTATCACTTTTAATTGTAATCATAATAATCAACTGTATAACCAAACCAACAGATTAATCAACAAAGTGTCAAATTTGATAAGCTAATTACAATCATTATCACTTAAAACTAATCTCATAATCAACTTGATTCTTAATTAAATGTTCACCTTTTTAATCAACCATCTAAACAATAATAATTTCCGATCCTTGCCTCAAGTGATTTACTAACCAATAAGATATTTAATTGACAACTAATTCTTATAATTAGTTGTAACAATTAGCTAAATTGAATAGTTAAGCTGATTAACTAACAATTTATCCTTTTCCTTTTGTTAATTTAGTTTGACTCAGTGATCGACTTATTATCGTTGAAAATTTGGTTAATTACACTTTGAATATTAGTTAATTGTGAAAATTATCAATGCATATGAATAACAATTAGTTGACATAATTAGTTGACTTAACTTTCTTTCCATTGATTGTTGATTAACTAATCAGAATAATCAGTTGAATCAGTTTGTTTGAATGTTTGAATGTTTGAATTGATTATTAACTATTGGAAATTTACTTATTGTTTGTTGATTGTTGTTAAACAAATTTGTAGCAATTAAAAATTTAAATTGTCACTGATAATCATCGTCTCTGTGTCAACAGGTTCATCGACGTAATTAAGTTAATTGTTGTTAATCAAACATTTTTTTCCTTCTCATTAACGTAATCATCAGCTTGTTCACCTTTCACTATTAACGTCAATTTTAATTGTGATTAACTGCAACAATCAAACAATAACTCTTAATTGCAATAGGTAAAGGATTAATCAGTTACCAAGAAAAAAAAAGTTAGTTATCATTTCCTATGTGTTTAATTGGTCACAATTAAAATCTAATGGATTTAAAAAACATTAACAATCAACGTTAAATGTTTGATTGTTATCATTGAATTTTCAATAAGATGTTAATTGTTTCCATGTAACAATCAATATATGAATTGGAATCATTTCAATTCTTACAAAACAATTAATTTTAATCAACCAAATATTAATTCCCAATCATGATTAGTTTAATAATCTTACAATTGTCAATGTGTATTTGATTAAAATTGATTGTTTCATACTGACAGGTAATTTAATTGTGACAATCAACCTAACCAACCCATCATTATATTAATAGTAACCTTGAAGTAATCAAATCTAATCAAGTCCATTTACCTTAAACTAATGCGTAAATTAGATGGGATTAATTGTTGTAAACAATTAACAGAATTAAGTAATAATTAATTAACAGAAACAAAAAAGTTGATACTTTGTCATTAAATCTTAATCACTGATCACAATCAAGTTATAAGGATTGATTGTAATAAACTAGATCAATCTAATTGAACCTAATTTTCAACCATTGTAAATTAATCACAACAATTAATTAGTGGTTGATTTTGTTAATTGTGACCAAATTTACGCGAAAATCATTGTCTTAATTGTGATGATTAACGATTGGCATACTAACCTATTGTTGGGAAATTATTTGATTGAGATTGTTTTTCGCGAAAATCAAAAGTTAACAGCAATTAACTGATCCAATCAAATTAATCATCATTTAAATTGATCAATCAAATGAGATGAGCAAATTTAAATTGATTAGATTGACCTTTAATTGTGTTGTTTTTAACACGATATCATTATGATGCAATGGAATTAAGATTAAAAAAGCTTCTTATAAGCAATTTAATTTAATTCAGTTTAAGTGTAAATCTTAATCACCAAGGATAAATGATGAATACACAAATCACAATCTAAATGTATGATAATTAACTTGAAACCAGTTTAATTGTGATTAAAGATAAAGAAATGATTTTCATTGAAATCAAAGGTAAGGATCAAATCCTAGTCTTAAGCTAATTTCAGTGATTAACTAATTGAATCAAGGTTTTCAAGGTTACCTGTGACCTTAGGTCATTATAGTGATTGTTTATTATTAAAATAAAAGTACACAATCAATTATAATTTGATTAAAAACAGCAACAATTAATCAAAACATGAAAAACATTTTAGATTTAACTGTAAACAACAACAACAAGAACAAAAATCAAAAAGATTACAAAACTAATCTTAATTGTATAAATTAACTTTCCTTAATTCTGGAACATAAACAAGCAATTAAATCTCGTTCTGCAATCAACAATTTAAAACTTATATAAAATTAACACCACCAACAATTAACCATGAACAACAACAACAACAACATGATTAACTTTAATTGTTAAGGATTATCTAAAATTGGGAGTAGGTTTGAAAAAGTTGAGAAAATCAATCGTTGATTTTTCATAAGATATTTAATTGATTGTTGTTTAAATTTAAAGAACGCAATTAACTGACAGTTGATTGTAGTTAAGAAGCAAATTTAATTGATCATGTGTATTAGAACCTACAGTTAACACCCAGCAATTTAATTTCTCACTTATTTTTTCACATGAGAATCAAATTCATGAGCATTGTCTTAATATTATCCACCCATTGACTCTTGCACGAGGATAACGTGTTTATATGGGATCTCTCTCACTTTCTCTCTCATTCTCACTCTCTCCCTGTTTCTCTCTACCTTCATCTTTGCCATCGATTTCAAGGTGAACAATTTAATCCACGTGATTACAGGGTGACCTGATTTTTCATGGATTCCAAATGGATTTTGAGAGTTTCAAGTTCATAGGTCTCTAGTTTTCAGCTCATCAACGACCTCAACTCAAACTGATTGTCTAATTATCTCAATCACTAATCTAATTTGATTATTAATATCTACAATGTTTGATTGTAACAATTTATCTAAATTGTCACTGGTTGATTATTGTGTTTGTTTAGCTCTTTATTGATAAATTGTTTTCCCATTTCTCATTTGAATCTATTGCCTTATTAGCAACAATTTATCCTCGTTTTTCACAATCGGAAAATTAATGTTGTTATTTTTAATTGTTTACTATTTGGCCTCTTAATTGTAAGCTCGTTTGATAACAACTCAAAACATGACAATTAAAAAGTTAATTGTTTTCCTTTCCTCCCAATCATCAGAATCCAAACCCTTTTCAAAAACAATATTATCATCACTTTTAATTTTCCCCATTAATTATCACAATTTCAAGGTTACAATTAACTAACAACAATTAACGTAAAAACAACAAAACTTTTCACATCTTAATGCTTTCAAATTGCTTTTCCTTTACTCTATCAAATTAAAACTGAATTAAAAAGGAAACTTAATTGTTGTTGTTTAATTTCACTGGAATATTTAAATCAAGCAACCAAATTGCTGTTATTCATGATTCGTCTTCAAGTTAATCAACAACAATCAAAAACATCCCAAACAATTTAGATTGTTACTATTTAAATACCTATGGTGTTTACTTTGGGTGTTATTGTTTTGAAGGAAATCCTTAATTTCAGCTCATTTCTCAGTAAATTGTTCATGAAATCAACCTACATACGGTTGAATGATAACAACGGTTTTCCCCAACAATTAACTCCAAGATAATCAAAATAGTTCAAATCACGAACTTACAAATATAATCAGAACTTTGTTCAAATTCAGAGAGAAAGAAGAAAAAAAATTCGAATCTTTTTTTTCTCAATCCATCCAATTCATTGATGTTGATTGTTTGGATTAAGATAATTAACTGGCAAGGATTTTTCAACTTCTATTAATGATTAATGTAAATTGTTGATTGTTACGTCAATTATAATGTAGTATTTGATTGTCCCACTGGTTTTAAATTACAATCTGTTTTTATATTGTAATTTAAAAACTATGAAACCGATTTGATTGATTCGTTTTTTTCAATGACGATCTAATCAGATATTATTGTTGATTAAACCAAGATTAGTTGAAACAATTAAAGTCTATTAATAGATTACAAAGATTCAGTTGATTAATTCACAAGAAAATTTATCAAATCAGATAATCTGAAATTGATATTTCACAGAATAACAATAACAATTAGTATCAACCTCAAGTCTAATTGTTATGATTGAAATAACATTTAGTTAATTTGGTCGAGAAATTAAAAAAAAAGCTTTATTAATTTGATTTAATGAGAGCAATGGTAATTAGTGAATTATAATCGATTGGAAAAGTAATTAATAATAAACAATATCCACAATCAACTTGATTAACTTAAGTCTAGAAGTTTATTTTTGTTATTTCTGTTAATTTGAATAGTACATTTGTAAATAGCTTTCAGAGCCTTAGGGGTTGTATCAACGTTTAATTATAACAATCAGTTAACTTCATGGTGAACAATTAACTAGATTTATAATTATTCAGATGACAATCAGCTGGTTTTCATTGATTAATTGTAAATTTAATAACAAGAAAACTAGGAAAAATCAACATTGAGAACAAGTTTCATAATGAACTTTTTGCAATGTTGAATTCATGAGACTCTGAATGAACTGAATTGGTGATGAATGGGAGAGAGAGAGAGAGAGAGAGAGCAAGGGAAGATAAAGGAAGATAAAAGAAGAGAGAGAAAATCATTTTCTGAATGAATACCTTGGAGGAAAAAAAAATTCGAAAAAAAAAGATTGATTGACCTTCTCCTTGGTTCAGAGCTTTTTAAAAATAGACTTACCTGTTTATTACATAAGGTAAATATTGAACATGTTGGTTAATCATCTTGGTTATGATCAGGAGATGATGATGATTACTGAATTATAACCCTGGACAGCGAGA